CGCATGGTTATCACGGCGAACTGAGGGGTGAATCAGTCGTTGCCAACGTGCAGAGTGTAAAAGGGGAGACTGTAGAAAATGAGTGCTGGAGAGGTTGAATCACTGGAATACTACAGAGCCCGGGGAAGGAGGGGAGACCCCCCCCCTCCTCCCCAGATGTTAAATAAATACTGGTCCCTAATATACCAAGACAACGTTAATGCTTGAATATCACGTGTATCTATCGGGTTAGTTAATTTTCTTAACGTAATTGAAAAGGAACTTAGAAATGGTTCACTTTTGTTTCCTTTTGGTAACAGAGACTGAATAATTTAATTTATGTCCAGATCGTTTATGCAAATCAGAAAAATGTTTGTTTGCTACAGAAGACACGATTGATCAATCGAGATATTGGTCTTGAGAGATGAAAAAGATTCAGGATAACTACTGCCAGCCGGAACATAAAGCCAGCGGTGTTTGTAAAGATAACAAACGCATGCGCCTTAACAAGCGTCGTTCACGCGCGCAACTTTTGTCTTCGGCGTCTGTAGTAACGAAGGACGGTTACTTTTAATTGAAGATAATCACCAAAATTCTAGTTTTGCTAATTCTAAATCCGGGATATTGAAAATCTCGCGAAAAAAGTTGTTTTTGTGAAGAGTTTGAAGGGAATTTTAAGGAGTTCCCTCGAGTTGAGGCGAAGTTTCGAAGATCACCACTGCAACGTTGGATTTAAGACTAGATCGAGATAATTGTGACGGAAAATCGAACGCTGTGCATCAATCAATGGAACGATTTGGAGGGTCACTGCCTGTAAAAGGATACAGCGGTGAATTGGCTGGGAAAAAACGAGTGCAACTTCCAGCAGATCATGGAAAAGGTTTGTTATTTTGTGTTTATGTTTAAGTGTCAAACTCCAGGTGTGTTGTTTCAATGTGATTTGTACGTGCGTGAAATAATTTTGCGCGCTCTACTGGAGCGTTAACATGACCTCTTTAAATTTATGGATCGTCTAAAAAAAACAATTTGCGACAAAATTTTTCTTGTCCAGAAAAAGAAGCACGTGTTATCGGTATGTATGTGGTCGTGCGTGTTTCTTTACGAATGAATTGAACTGTTTGTCAACCACAGCCTACAAACGCTTGACAACATTCAATTAAAGTACAGAAGCTTTCCGCTAAGCCTAATTGATTGAAATGGAAAACAATAATTTGGTATCATAAGCTTTCACGCGCGAACATTTATAATTCATATCAGCTTCGAGTTAAAAAAATTTCTTTTAACTTACCATACCGCCTATCAAATGGAATCGTGAAGAATTTTATCTTGAAGAAGCTTGAATAGCGAAGTAACATACTTGATCCTATTTAAGAAAATCATCCAAAGAAAACAAAAAGCTAAGATTGGGATAGATTAGAAATCAGTGAATACATTCCCCATTCGTTTGTGTTCTATATCGTTTTTAAAGAATATCATATCTTATAATGTCACTATCAAAAATTCTACCCAATACACAATTGTATCTACATACAGGTTACACCTCTTACGACTCCAGTAATTTGTTTCACAGCACCCCCAAAATAAAGGTAAATGTTTCTTTCTCAGCAAAGCGACAACAGTATGGCAAACCTGGGCCGCCTGTATCTTATTAGTTAGTTCATCTTCACAGTTATTTTATTCCTTCTTGTTTGACCACAAGTTTACATTCAGATCAGTGGTGCCCTTGTAACATAATGGTGCTGATGTTTACCTTTTGGCAAAAATTTTGCATTTTAATGGTTAGAGAGTAACCCAGTTGTATGTCTAGTCCATCAAACCTTTAACTCCCAAGTTCAACTTTAAAATTCTCCCATTCTCAGCAGCCATGTTTCAGTGTCATTAGTGAAGAGAGTTTGTTGCATGGTCAAGATAATACCTCATAAGTGGACAAGTTGTTAATTCTTGTCACTTCTCTGCTAAATAAAATATTGATTAATACTATATGCTAATCAAGAATTTTAGTAAAAGAGTTGGTGAATTGACCACTTTATAAACATCCTTTACTAAATATATCTAATGCACTATATTTCAATGTTATATATGGAGAGGGTCTATTCATACTTTTTAAAATAGAATTGTGTTTCCTTTTTTTTTTTATTTTTATTTATCACTGAACTCCACATTGCGATCTTCAGCCCATATCTTCATCATATTCAACAACATTACCAAGTGGTTACAAGACCAGAACAACCAATACAAGCTTTCAGACAGGTGTAAGCCCATCTCGGTCACAGCGCAGTAAATCTCCAACGCGTAGCACAAGCCCTGGCCGTCGACCAGTGAGTCCAAATTTGCATACAGCAACAAGTCCAAGACTACACAACAGATCTCTGTCTCCTAATAGTAAACAGGTCAGTAAAGCCAAGGTTCCTTACAGTCAGTTTAGATCTTCAGCTATTTAAGATTAATAAACAGTGCTGAAACAATTCAATCAGACTTCATGTATTTACATCATGTTACATTTGTTAGTAAGTAGGGTCAAGAGAAAATTGTCCCCATTTCCAAAACGCTAATTGTTAGGAGAGGCTGTCAAGGGCAATGTTTGCTAGTGTAGGTGATGTGACAAGGAAACTTGCCAACAAAATTATAGATTATAGTGGTTAGGAAATTTCTAATCCTGCAAGCATTTCCTCACAAGAGTTGATGAAAAGGTTTTATCATATTTATTATTCCATTTACACATACTAAGCTTTTGATTTTGCCAAAACTAATAAACTCAGGAGATGTTGCACATAGGAACTTAGCAATGGCCTTCATAATCTCACTGCTGAGGTCTCTGAGGCTCAGTTGTAAAGCATCAGAGCTTGAAATTAGGTGCTGAAGACTCAGATTTTCTTTTTCCCATGTTAGTAATATAAGCAATAACATCTTTCTTTAAGTTTTCTGCTAACAAGGGAATAGCTTCTAAAACAATTTTGTTTTATTCTAACATGATGACCATTTTTGTTTTAGCTCTCTGACGTAGATAGTGACACAATACAAAGGCAGAGACGAGAACTTCAGCTGCTTATTGGGGAACTCAAAGATAGAGACAGGTATTTGCATGAAAGTAGAAAAACAAAAAGACAAACCAAAAAAACCCACCCCAAAACTCCTTTTTAGCCCTAAACAGTCTTGGTTAATTCAACTTAAACAATTTTAGAACAGACATTTTGCAACATGAATTAGTTTGAATAGTACGATTTTGGTATTATCATATCACCAAAAAAAGCAGCAGAAAGGGAAAGAATAGGAGCAAAAAATTGCTGCACCTTACCACAGAGGTCCATGGCAACTGTAGATCCTGCACAGCTATAATACAAACACTGTTAATCCCATCAAGTAAAACCTTCAAATTTTTCAGCCTCTGATCAGCAGGATTTACTTTAGTCCTAAATTTGCTTTGCACTCTTGAGCACTCTGTTACTGCAGAAGCTTGTGCACTGTGTCATGTGCCCTCTCAAATTTTTTTCCTACTTGTTCTGTAAAACTAGAGAATTGAATGATATGGTACAAGCTCATCAAAAACAGATAGTGGCTTGGGAGGAGGACAGACAAAGGGTGAGGGTGCTTAAGATTTTATTTCTCCTTAGTGGTTTTCAATTTTAAAGAAAAAACAGCTTTGCAATGGTTGTGACAGTTGGCATCACATTAAGTGCATTGATATGGATGTCGAGACTTATGTCGCTCTGAGTTACTCTCAAGATCAATGGTTTTGTAAAGCCAACAATTGTAACTGGCCTTTTGATTTCTCCGACTCGTTTTTGGAGTCTTCGTTCTTCAACACCTGCTCATAATGATTCAAGTGTCACCCCTACTCTGCGGCATAACGATCAACTGGAGAATCAAAGGAATATCTGTAATGATATCCTGTTATGTCACCTGAATATAAACAGCATACAAAACAAATTTGAGGAGCTTGTCGCTTTAATCAGGAAACTAAAAATTCATATAATATTTATCAGCGAAACAAAAATTGATTCCACATATCCTGATAGCCAATTTGCCATTCCTGGCTATACATTATACCGTAATGACATAAAAAAAGGAGGTGGAGGCATCCTGGTTTATATATCCACACTGCTGCCTTGTAGAAGGCTTAAGATTACCAGGACCTATAAGACACTGGAACCCCTCGCAGTTGAGATTAGGCTTGGCACATTTGAAATGATCGTTATCAGCATCTACCGTCCACCCAAATCGGTATCTGGTGATTATCAACTACAACTGGAAGGGGAACTTAATGGTATTTGCACCTGGGCCTCTTTACGGAGAAACTTTGTCACTGTCATTGGCGATATTAATCTTGATAGACTTAGACCAGATAAAAGTGAAGGGAAATTACTCTTAGATTTGGAAGTGGAACAAGAACTCACATGTCTTATTGATAAACCAACATGTACGGAGAAGAAAGTTCTATCTCACACCTCTACCCTCATTGATGTGTTGTTGACAAATAAACCAGAGCGATTTAAGTGAATACAAGTTCATAGCTATGGGTTGATCAACTCCAAGCTTCAACATCCCCCATATATTAGCTTATTGATGCCAAAATTTGGAACAATTTGTAATTAACATACCATCAGTAATTGTTTTAAAAAGGAACATTTGAAGTTTGAGAGCACTGATATATTCCATTTCTGTTGACATCCCCCTGCATTTAGGTGTTTGCTCTTGAGAAGCGATCTTCCAGGCTTGAAAGTAAGTGAGGTTTTATGTTCTTGAAATACTGTAAGTTACAATTCACTGTACTGTAAAATCATGAATTTCTAAGAAAGTGGAGTTGATAAAGTTTTCTACACTTACAGGTGAACTCAAAAGTAGAAATGAACAAATGAAGGCATTACAAGCAAGGTATTGTTTATTATTATTAATATAGATACTGATTAAATACCAGGATTTTTCCTTTTACTAAAAAAATCATATCTTCATCGCGTGCAGTGAAGATACTATTTTTATCTTTCAAGTGTGAGGATACTGGTGTCGCCATGGTTACTAACATGATTAGCCAATTACAAGAGAGCTTCCCACTCAGGCGCGCAGCTGGTTCTTTTGCAATTTCATCAGTATAAATGAAATAAACAGAACATCACACAGCTGCTTGGGGATATGAATTTTATTTTCGAGTGTCTCTTACGAGTGAGCGAAGTGAACTAGTGAGAGATACTTTCAGCACACGAAGATAAAATTCATATCCCTGCGCGGCCATGTAATATCCTCTATTTAGACAGATATCAATTAAAAATAACTTTGTTTCACACATAGTTTTTTATGTTAGAAGTGTAATGTTACTAATTAAAAATGAATAGAAGACATACAAACAGTAACTTCTTCTTGTTGACATGCAGGTCTGTAGTTTCTCAATAAGTAAAGATCACTTTTTAATCACGGTGTAATGACATCAGAAAAAAAAAAACTATGCGCCACTTTCTGATTGAGATTGAGGTCCAACAATTGCAAGTTGTAGTTCAAGTTATTTTAAGGAATTGATGTATTGCTCACTCCAAGGAGTGAAATGGTAAAAGGAAAATTAAATTTTTACTCTGAAGTTGAATTGAATCAGCTCATAGATGTCACTGATAGGAATCCTTGTTGTGATTTTGCTTTGCAGGCTTAAAGCTTCTGAAACAGAGGAAAAGAACAAAGGCAAAGAACTTGAAGATACTCAGGTAGTTATTCATGCCCTTAGTACTATTGGATGAAAGATGCCTTGATCTAAGGCCTTGCATTATGTCCAACCGGCCCTTTCTGGTGCCACTGAAAGGGCTATGTTGGATAGTGGAATGCTGGAAAACACCTTCTACAAAACTGCTCAGGATTGCCCTCAGAAGTGAAGATTCAACTTAGAGATAAAATGGCCTTTTTCCATGATAGCCTGCACTCGTGAGATTGGCAGACTAATCTGACTGGAAGAGCCCACTAGACTCCTGGCTGTTGACTCAATCAAATGTGTTGCAGTTGTGTGTGAAACATGCAAAACCAGTTGTGTTAAAGTTTACAACATGCCCAAGTTTGTTTAGCTTGTAATTTGTGCCGCAAAATTACCATACTTAAACTTACCATTTCTCCTTGATCTGTAGCTTCAACTTCAACAAGTTTCAGAACATGCAAATACTTCTCTTCATCAAGTTCAGGAACTTGAAGTATGTAACAACCTTGTCAATACACAATGTATGACTGATAGCATTTATTACCCTTGAATCATTTTATAAACACTGGCAGAGTAAACATGATACTTAGTGTGCTTGACTGTAGAGACATGTTTCCTTTCATAATCAAATGTTATTGTTGTTGCTTCATTATCAGGAAAAGAACAGTGCTTTAACTTCATCAATGAGAGAGCTATCAAATACAATAGGACAGCTTCAAGCCAGAGAACAGGAGCTTTTAACAAAACTAAAACTTAAGGTATTGCAGCCTACATGAAACTTGATATGAGACCACATTCTCTCCTTTAGTTTACTGGTCAGGAAATCTATTGCATCCAAAAGGAGAAATTTAGATCAGCAAATTACATTTTCTTACAACAACAAATAGTGACAAAAGGGATTTTTAAATGTTGGTGTCTTCATTCTTTCTTCGACCTACTGGTCTGCATAAGTGCTTAAAATGCTTGTTTGTCAGAAGCATTTTGTGGTCTGGATTTGCACCATAGCTTAGGATTATCTCTCATGTTGTCCTGGACAATTAATAACATTTCATTACTTGCCTAAGACATATATTTGTTGATTGTGTTTTCACCCAGGACAATGACATAATGGAGGCAAATGTGAGCTTAGGAGAACTGCAACAAAAGATAAAACGTCTTGAAGGATTATGTCAGGTCAGTATTGGCAAAATAAATGCAGTCGAACCTCTCTACCATGGCCACCTTGGGGAAGAAATGATAACAAAAAGATTCCTTGTTACATCTTTTTCTTAGGAACTAAGGAAAAATGAAAGTTCAATCAGGACAGAGAGAGACCAGTGGAGAGATCAAGCCACAGCTAACAAACATGAAGTAGAAAAACTAAGAGGTTGGCAGAAGGTCTTCAGTTTTAAAAGTGTATTTTGGTTTATTTTTTTGGGTTGTACTTATTTATTTGATATTTATTCATTTGTTTAACTGTTTGTTAGTTTGTCTTTCGTCTCATATACTGTATAGCTGACAGTTTGCGTTCTTGTTTGTTTTTTTTTTCCAGTTGATATCAGTAAACAGTTTAGTGATGCAGACGAAGTTCAAGCTGAGCTTGCGAAGGTAAAACTGTCGCGTACCTGTCGCTGCGCAAAACAAAGTTTCATCTTATGGCATTCAGTTAGTTAGGGAAATTAGCCTGAACCTGAGAAATTTCATGGTCAGAATTTATCAGAAGTTTTTGGTAATGTCTGTTGTTTCATCTGTGTTTTTCAGACCAAGCAAGAAATTTTAGTTTTGCAGAAGGAACTTTTCTTAGCAGGTAATAAGAGACATACGAATAACATACGGATACATTTGTATCTTGTACCTGACGTCAATTGCTACTCTACGATTTCTTAGGAGAAAGAGAGAAGAGGAAAGATCAACTGCTTGATTTACAAAAATCAAAGCAAGAGAGAACGGACTCAGAGTTGCAAAACCTTCGACAAGTATGTTCATTTATTGTTCTTGGAAGTAAAGATAGCAAACAGCTTATGTCGATTGATTGTAACAAACAGGAAAGTTAAAAATCATGTCGTCCAGTCATAATAGAGGGAGATAGAGTAATTTTAAATGCGTTTCGATTGTCATTCGGGATTTCCTCTCCTGTTTTACTTCGTTCTGTGATAGATCTATGGAACCCGTGATACCAATGGAAAGCAAATCTTAAACCAATCGAGACTCAAGCTCTTTCAATTGCGTTTTCTCGGGCAATTTGTCAGTTTATTTGTACTTTGAAACTTCATTGTTCAAAGTGCGCTTTTCGCGGGAAGCAATGGGAACTTGATTAAGCGAAAAAGGGCGGGAAAATACAAGGAAATATTTAATTGCGATTGGTTTAGCTCTGACGCTGTTTGGTTGAGGGGGGGACACGGGTTTCCTTGACCAATCAAAGAGGTTAGAAACGGAAAGTATCCCGAATTACTTTGTGCACTTATCTATGAATTACAACGATAGTCCGTTCAATAACGGGGTTAGTATCAGAATCGAAACTCGACATTGAAATACAATCCATCTCAAGTATTTGGTTTTCAGTTATAGTGACAGGTAATCTGACTCTGACTTTCCTTGGCAGATCTGTGATAGACAACAACGTGACATTTCTTACATGCAGCTCCAGTTACAAAGTTCTCACGATATGCTGTCCAAACATGTCACGGAACCTGAGTAAGTTGTAAACTGCTGAATAATAGTACGTTTTTTCAAAGAGACAGAACTTGTTTTCACCCAGACTATCAGAGTACACTATCAAATACTTAGTATAGAAATTACGTTCAACACAAAAAGGTAAGCTGTTAGTTATAATCGGGAAAGGAAAGCGAATTGTTGACCAGGTGAAGTTGAGGTTGCAGAAAAAATAAACTTAAAAAAATATATGAAAAGTTGCCTGGCTTTCAGCTTCTGACTTCGCAGTTCTGATGGCCGGAGCCACTAACTGGTTTCTGAGAGGCTTGGAATCGTCACATTGTAGCCTGAGGGTTACAAAAACACAATAACAACAACAACTACAACAAGAATTCAGGCTTCAATAGGTCTTGACGTCATGCCTCCCATATTTCGACTGGGTGTCATTGCCAACTGAGTTAATAAGCCACTTATTGGGAGTGACAGTACTTTTCATGACCAGCTCCGTCTCTTGATTTGCAGTAAAATGTCAGAGTTGGAATCTAATCCCCCGGATGAAGATAAAAAGCCTCTAAACAGCTTTTACGATGCCACGAGTTTTAACCTCAATGGAGACTATTTTGACAATCAGGTGAGTTAAAACGGTTTTTTCTTTTTGTAAAACAAACCTCAATGATAGGTATACATTTTGTTTTCCGTAACTATCTGCATCTAACTGATTGACAAGGTGGCGCCAGTTTTTTAGACTAATCATAGGTCGAAATAAAGTAAGACAACGCGATTCTGCATAATCATTTACACTCAATTTGTAATTGCTGCATTTTGAGTTATCTTTCTTGGTGAAGAATTTGGTGCAAATTTTAGAGAAGTTTCTAGTCATTAGGATACTCCTGCTTTGACTCATTCAGTTTTGCACATTTTTCTTGTGCTTAGGATCAAGCGTCCACGAGGTCAATGGACTTTGATGGTATGTCAATCTCTTCGGGGTTGTTCGAAACAGTGTTAAAATCCTTGAAATGTTCTTGTCCTTATGAGAGTAGCAGATTTTTAGGCCAGACATATTAAATAAGAGATATAAATGTATGGCCCTAGTGAACACAATGTTATCTAATTCGGCCAGCCTTTCAGTTTCTTTGTTGTTGGCACAGAAAGTACCTATTGTTAAAAATTTTGTGAGCTTATGCTCGTGTCCGACTCTGTGCGTCCAAATGTTCCATTGTAGTTTTTTTGTGGTGAGGATCAATAACTCAAAACTGACAGAGATCTTTGTCGTGTAAGACGTGTACGTGAAGTATCCTACTTTAATTTGCAGGCCCAGTCTCTTCCAAAGGCACTGATGATGACCTCGCTGCTTATATTCCAGGTGTGAATCACAGAAACAAAGTGATTGTCTGCATAGTATGAAAAAAATCTAACCGCTATTGATATGAAACTAGAAAGACATTAATGATATACATTTGAATGCAAAACCAGAATACGACATACTCAACTCTCACTTTTTAACGTCAGAGTCAGTGAGATGTGAACCCTGACACACATGTACCATCTGTATCCAAATAGCAAGCACAAGCCTGAATCCTTTGCGCAAACATTTCACAAGACAAGTTATTTAACCTTTTACAACCCAAAATCGGTATGCATATTCTCCATACTGTTCTCTAAATATTTCCTAAGCTGCTGACAAGGAGAATTTGTCCAAGAATCTGGAGCTTTTACAGTTACCGTTCATTTCTTATATTCTCCTGACCTTTATGTGTCATTCGGGGGTGATATGGTAAGGAGAAATTAGTTATTTGTCACTCTTTGGGGTTAAAGGGTTAAAGCTGATGCTTCACTTTGTGTTGAAAATAATGTCCAACCAAGGTACGGTTACTATTTTATATTAGGCGGTGGTGGAGTGTCCTCCCTTTCCATGCACGCGACAGCCGGAAGTGACTTGGCTGACGACTATGACAGCCTTTCGCAAGATCCACTTCAACCTCCGATCACTTCAGAAAGAGGCTTCACAAGTTCAAATGTTGACACGTTTCTTCCTCCCAGGTGAACAAACGTGCTTTTATCGGGAGTGAACTCTTTACGGGTGTCATTTCACATTTCTTAACATGACTTATTTTTTCCTATCCTATAGAAACCCCTCTTACTTCAGCACACCCAACACAAGAACCGACATTTATCCGCCATTAGGTAACCTTTCTCTCACGGGCGTTCGACTAGAGGACCACAGTAGCCTGTTATCCTTCTCGCCTGGGAGACCAGTGGAAATTAATTCCGTAACAACTACGAGACCTGGGGACACTTATTCCTCTTTCTCAGCTGGTGTATCTGTACCGAAGACGTCCCCTCCTAAGGTAAGAACTGCTCGGTGGAGCCGCCTTTGGTTCATCGGTGGCCTTGTGAAACCAAGGAGTAAGTTTTCCTCCCAGAAGAAACGGCAAGCAATTGGAGTGAATTTTGAGTGTCGTAAATCCAAAACCAAAGCACTGAAAGAAAAATGACCAATTAGAACAAGAAAATATCAAGAAGCGACTGTGAGGACTTAAATTCAGCCAACTACCCTAAGCGCGGGAAAAACACGAGTGACCATTACCCGTTTTTTTTTTGTTTGTTTGTTTGTTTGTTTTTTTTGCGAGATCTGATTGGTTGAGGTGGCATGTTTTCTTTTTTTAGACCAATCACAGAGCGTCATAAAGTTAACTCATAGCAATCTCGCATTGTTGTCCACGTTCAATTGAAAATTTCTCCAAATACTATTATTTTTAAGCTTGTACATGATTTTTTCCCAAATTTATTTTAGTTTTGATTTTTTAGAACTGCAGTTTTCTTAGATTCTATTGATTAACTGAACAAATTCAGTTAACTAACGATTATAGGTACAAACGCTGATTTGCGGCTGAAAAATGCGGGTTGTAACCTAACTTCCGAATGACAATCACTGTAACATAATTTGAGATCCCTTAACGTAGCACATAACTACTAACGTAGCTCACTGTCAGATAGTAACAATAATACAACTAACAGAAGTTCCAACAACTTGCGTGACAGGACAGCTGTGCCAAGTTGGGTGAACTTTTCTTTTCTTTTTCCTTTTGTTTCGTTCTTACCCCAGGCGGAGGGGGACGCTTCACCGACCAGTAAACTACATCGTCTGCTCGCGGAGTCTCGACAAATGGTTCAAAACCTCGAACAATCCTCCACATTCTCCCTGACCGGAAGTCCTAATCAGGTTTGCATTAGCGTCACGCATTTCAGTTTGTCACGCTATACCTTAAGGCTAGGTTGCGTTGGAAAGTGGCTTAGATGAAAAAAAAAAGAAAGAAAAGAAAAGAAAAGAAAAGGAAAGAAGTAAAAAAGGAGAAAAACTTAAAACAAAGTTTTTGGCTGGGCAGGTCAACTGGTCACTGCCAGAGGAAGCTTTTCATGAGTTTTCGCGAAGCAAAATTTTCATATTCCAAACGTTGGCTGAAAAACATATCGGGACTGTTTCAATCATCGGTATCTTCCTTTTAGTCTAATTGGCGATAAGGCTAACATTAACAAATAGTTCTATTGAAGTTTAATGAATGGTAATGTATTGCCATTGTCACTTAACATTTAATACAAAATTCTACTTGTAACCGCAACTGCAATTACGTCAGTGTCCTTCTTTAATCATGTATACCTCGCTCGCTAATAAAGTTCCTTAATGATTATAGGATAAAAATTGCATTTAACCATTTTAAGCTCCCAGCGAGGTCAGACTGAAATTTTACCTCCCTTTATTAGTGTGATAGTTAAAGAAAAGATTCTTAGAATTTTAAGACATTGATTACTAGGAAAACTTGCTTTGAGTTAAGGAGAAAGTTGTTACTACCACAGGAAATATATGGATTTTACTTAAAATGTGTACTTTTATTGTACGCATGCTACGCCAGTAGAAATCAGACCCATTTTCGGAAGAAATTCCGGTCTCCAAAGTGTGTTTCAAATCCAGGGGTGTGGTTTTTAAAACTAGTCAATCAATAGCGACGTTACAATATTTTGTGTCCTCTTTTTCTGCGACGTGCAAAAATATCTTCTAGTTGAGGAGAAACAAAAAACGACAGTTAATTTTGACAGAAAAGCTGCAACACGAGAAGGAAGATTTTCCAGAACGTGAAAAGGACTTCTAAGGATGAAGAAGTTTGACCTAGACTCGTGAATTGAATGTAGCTATTTTAACCAGGCTTTCTGTTTGATTGTCCGGTGGTGTAGTTACAATCCTTTCTTGTTGATCAGCTTTCGTAGCAGGAAGTTGATACCAATGAACGCCCTCTAAAAGATAACACACTCTGTCTCTGTTTCTCTTTAGGACTCCACGGTTCCCACGAGTGAGCAGTACACACCGCCGCAAAGACATCTGGGAAGTCCACTACATTCGCGTCCAATACCCACCTCTACTGAATGAAAAGTAAGTGGTACGTATGGGTAGTGTTTTTTGCGTGATCTGATGGGCTGCTTATGCCGAGCAAGTTAGCTTTATCCATTTTATTTTGAAAGTCTTCAGTTCGCTTTACTAAGCTGCAAAGTATTTAAACTGTGAACTATTTTGGAGCCTGGTTGAACCTTTGGCTTATGACTCTGCAGGATTATCTTTCAATAAGTTTTGGCTAATTCGGCGAGTGAACTTCTTGACTATATTATTTTGTCCTTCGCTACTACAAACCTACTTTAAACGTGAGTGGAAAAAAAAGGACAGAGCTATTCGCAGGTGGGAAAATTAAGGCCGACTTTTCTCGGGATGAACTTATCGTGACATAACATCTGGGACATTGTAACCTAGTCAACGACAAGAAAATGAATTTAAAAAATATATATTAACTACAAAAAACCTCTCTCTTTTCAACGTTGTAGTGGATCGATTAGTGGAATGTTTTATCGTTCACCTCTAACCTATAATCTTTCTCATCCGTGGGGTTTATTTTATTTCATTTCATTTTTTGTCTCACTATACTTTTCTCCCTTGATATTGCAGACTAACATGTCCACAATTTTCGGCTGATCCTAACGTCGCACGCCCGCAGTGCTTCTGTGCTTAAAACTTGATTCGTCTCACATTCGGATCGTCTTCGAAAATCCGAATACTTCCGTAAAGCCAGTTGTGACTGCTCGAATCAAAATGGTTTCCAACATTAATCCACGTGAAGTTAAATTTTGTTTCGATATAAATAGTATAGCTTGAGTTACAATTGTGTTTTAACTGTAAATAACGAATACTGACTATTAACTTGACCTTTTTTCATTATTTTTTGTTATGAAAAAAAAGAGAAAAAATCCATTTCGTACAAATCCAGTCTAATGTACTCTCTTTTGTTGACCAAAAATACAATGCAAATATCTTTGAATTATTTTTTTTATGATATTTTAAAATTGATTGAGTTATATTGAGAAACGGATGTATTTCATTTTTAATATCTCGCCTTTTCAGATTAAACAAATGCGAACGAACTCGTTCTCCTCTATGACACAGTTTGAAAATTAGTTCTCCTAAGCTTTGAGTTCATCTCCTACAGGCCAGGTGTTAAAGGCTACACATTACTACTTGTTTATATACAGTTATATTGCTCATGTTGGATACTGGTGTTATAAGTTTGGTATTATTGTGCAAAAAGAAAAGTTCACCTGACGCAACATGTCGCAACTTTTTGGAACAGAAGTAGTTATACTCGCAGCAAACGTTCTTTAGCCTTTAGAGTCATACAACCATTTTTTCTTTCGTGATGAGAAACGCGCCTGCAACAAGACGCACGCGTGGCGTAGCCAGATGGAAAATTAGCGGATGATATTAGAGCCTCTCTCTTAACCGATCGCGCGTGTCAACAGGCAGTCCACGCGTTATCGCGTGGTTCATCGCGTTGGATTTCAACCAGGCAATCACGTTGGAGGGAAATATATTAGGAACATTTACTCCAACATTTTAGCCTAAATGTCAACCACTAATCGAGAGGTACAACAGAATTCTTATGTTTTGATACACGTACTCATTTCATCTATTATACTAACCAGTCGTAAACTTTACATGATCATGTTTCATTATCTTGTTTGGTTCGTAAAGAGAGAATGATTTTAGATAGACTCTTATTTAATAATTATTATTTAATTGATGTGAATCTAGAATCTTGTGTATGAACTGTTGATTTATTTCATTCAGAATTTGA